GTGTGTGTGAAGAGGGTGTGAGCAGGTGTGGGTGCAGCTGTGTGTGTGTATAGGTGAGTGTGTATGGGAAGGGGGCGGTTTGTGTGTGTGCGCATGGAGGGGGGTGAGTGTTGGCATATAGCTCCGTGTGTGTGTGTGTGTTCTTACATCCTTGTTTCTAGTTGTGGGGGGGGCAGTATGTGTCCATCTGGTTGTGGGGGTGGGGTGTCCCACTGTGATGTTTGTCTATGTGTGTCAGGCTGTGATCTGTGTGTGTTTGTGTGCATGTGCGTGTGAAGGGGGTGGGAGTGAATGTTGGTGTAGCTCTGCATGTGCCAAGTTGTGTCTCTCACGGGGGGGTGAATAAGGGTGTGAGTGAATGTTGGTGCAGCACTGTTTCTGTATCCATCTGGTTGTATGTTCCACTGTGTGTGTGTGTGTGTGTGTGTGTGTGTGTGTGTGTGAAGGGGGGCTTGTGAGTGAGTGTTGGTGTAGCCCCCTATGTGTGTGTCCCACTGTTGGGGGGCAGGTGTGAAGGGCGTGTGAGTGGCTGTGGCTACAGTTATGTCTGGATGTGAGTGTGTACAGGAGGCGGTGTGTGTGTGTGTGTGTGTGTGCTTGGCTGCGATTTGTGTGAAGCAGGTGTGAGTGAGTGAGTGCTGCTGTAGCTACATGTCTGTGTATCTGTCTGGTTGTGAGGGGGGGTATGTCCCCCTGTGGGTGTGTGTCCCACTGTGATGTGTGTGTGTGTATGTGTGCATGTGTGTGTGAAGAGGGTGTGAGAGGATCTGTATATGTGTATGTGTAGGTGAGCATGTACATATGTGTGTGTGTGTAGGTGAGTGTGTATATCAGTGTGTGTGAATACATACAAGTAGATGACCATGTATCTGTGGGTGTGCACATCTGTGCACACGTAGGTGAGTGTGTGTGCAAGTGTGTGTATGAGTGCGTGTGTGCGCACATATATACCCCCTACGGAGCAGCAGTGACCCCCAGTGGCCACTCAGGGCACTGCACCCGGACACCTGTGTTCACCCTTGTTCCTCTTCCCTCCCGGCTCCCAGGACGCCCTGCCCTTCCAGGCGCCTCAGGGAGACCCCGAGGCCGTGAACTTGGGCGTCCGCTGGGGCAGCCTCACCCCTACGGGGGTCATCCACATCAACCTGAGCACTGTCACCAGGTGCGCCCGGGCACCAGGGTCCCATTCAAGTCTGGGGGGTGGGCTGGGAGCCTGCATGCCTGGGTCCCCCCAGCTCTGGGAGGGGTGTGGGAGGTCAGAGGGGGGGGCGGGGGGCGCTGGGAGCCCGCACGCCTGGGTCCCCCCACCTCTGGGAGGGGTCGGGGGGAGCGGGGGGCGCTGGGAGCCCGCACGCCTGGGTCCCCCCACCTCTGGGAGGGGCCTGGGGGGTCAGACCAGGGGTCTAGGATCCCGGACGCCCGGGTCCATCCCCGCGCCCCTCCAGGGCCATGTCGTCATTCGAGTTCCGCACGCGGGACGCCGAGGGCCCCATCTTCTCTGGTGACACCGGCGGCGGCGACTGGTGCGTGCCTTGCCTGAGGCTGGGGCGAGAACAGCGTTGCCAACCTCAGTGCGGCTGCTGGGCCCCGGCTGGACGATGGCCGCTGGCACCGGGTATGCCCGGACACCTGCAGTCCTGCCCCCGGGGGGCCTGGACCCTTCTGGGGTGATTGGGCCGAGACCTCTGGTACCCATGGCAACCAGTCTCCCTCCCAGTATGGCCCTGGGGTCCGTGGTCTCTGGGGTAACCAGGCCAGGACCCCCAGTCTCCCTGGCAATCCAGCCCTTGGCCCTGGGGGCCTCCATCTCTAGGGTGACCAGCCCCCCCCAGTCTCTGGGGCAACCAGTCCTACCCCCCCAATATGGTGACTAGATTGAGACCCTCTGTCTCCATGGCAACCAGGTCCATGGGTCTGGGGTCCCCTATCTCTGGGGTGACCAGATCAAGACCCTCAGTCTCCACAGCATCCATGGGGCCCTGGGGTGGGGTGGGGGGTCTGTGGGATGACTAGCCCAGACCACCCACCCCTGTGGTTCCCGGACACCAGGGTCCCATGGCAGTGACACTCCCCCCCATGCCCCCTCAGCTGTCAGTGAGCAGCGAGGGCCACGCCGTGCTGCTGGAGCTGGACGGGGCCCCCGCACTCACCCTGCGCCACGTGGCCGCCCCCCTGGCCCGCCACCCCCCGCCCACCATGCGCATTTGGGGGGTCTGGACACCTGGGGGGCTGGGGGCCTGGGCAGCCAGGTTCTGGGGAGCTGGGTGGCTCTGGACACTTGGGGGGTTGGGGAGATGGGGGTCCAGACACCTGGGTTCCCTCCAGCTCTGAGCAGAGGTTTTGGGGTTGGATTCCTGGCTGGGGGGTGGTATCAGGGCCCAGCCTCACCCCTTTTGCATCTCCCGCCCCCCCTAGCTGGACCCCGCCATGGACGGTTGCATGCGGCGCTGGGATTGGCTGAACCAGACAGTGGCCTGGGGTCAGGGGTCACCCGGGGGTCCCCCCAAACCCTGCTTCCACACCCTGCTCCCCGGCAGCTTCTTTGCAGGGGGAGGGGCCATCTTCACAACTGCAGGTAGGTATGGGACTCAGGTGTCCAGGACTCCCCTCCCCCACCCAGTGCAGGGGGAACCTTCCCTCCCCTGGACTGGGCTGGGGGTCCCAGACACATGGGTTCTATCCCAGGGACCCCCCCCAGCAACAGCTCTGACCCCTCCAGATCTGGTGCCCGACCCCCCGGCCCCTGAGGGGGGCTGGGAGCTGGTGGTGGAGCTGGGGGTCCGGGCCCCCTCCCAGACCGGCCTCATCCTGGCCATCACAGACGCCAACGCCAGCCTGGTGCTCAGCCTCTCCCTGACGCCCACTGTGAGTGCGTGTGCAAGGGGCCCCTCACCCTCTGGTCACGTGAGCAAGCGGGGTGGGCCTTTGTTTTAGGGATCAGCTTGAGGCACAAGCACCATCAGCTTGAGGCGCAAGCGCCTGGCAGGGGGATTCCTGTGGGGGAGGGGAAGGGAATTGTGCGAGAGTCCCCTCTCACCGTGGGGTGCTTCACTAGGGAGCAGTCGTGCGAGGCACAGGCTCACCAGGAAGCACTTGTACAAGGAACCCCCACCCACAGGGGGCAGTTGTGTGAGGCATCCACTCACTCAGGGGCACTCATGCAAGAGGCGGGCTCCCCAGGGGGTGCTAGTGTGAAGGATCCACTCACCAGGGAGCACTTGTGCAAAGGCCATGCTTCCCGTGGAGGTTCTAGTGCAAGGCCCCGCTCACCCGAGGTCACTTGTGCGAGGGACCTGCTCACTATGGAGCACTCATACGAGCGATCTGCTCACCAAGGGACACTTGTGTGAGGGACCTGTTCACTAGGGGATGCTTGTGCTTGGGTCATGCTTCCCCTGAGGGCCCTAGGGGTAGGCTCAGGGGTCTCCTGACTCCCTTCTTCTGTCCCCCAGGCCCTGACATTGCGCCTGGACCAGGTGGGGCAGCTGAGCCTGCCTCTGCCCCTGGGCTGCCCCTGGCCAGTGGATGCTGTGGGGCTGCACGTAGGGCCAGCCAGCCTCAGCCTGCGCCTCGGGGCCCAGCACACCTGCACCCCCCTTGCTGCACCTGCCTTGCGCCTCCGCACTGCCTGGACCAGCCCCCACGGCCGCCTGCACCTTGGGGCCCTGCCAGGTACCTGCCTGGGACCCCTCCAA